GTGAAGTAATAAGCAACAGACAGTTGCAGTTTCACCATGTGAAGCAGAGCACTTGGCCCTTACGCCATTCAGGAAGCAAAGTTCCTAAGACAAATTGTATCTGATCTGTTAGGATTTAAGTTAAAGTCTGTAGACTCAGGAGTTGACAACCAAGGTGCTATTAACCTTGCCAAAAATCCAGTAAATCACCAAAGATCAAAGCACACTCATATTCGTTCCCATTTCATTAGAGATGAAGTAGAAAAAGGTAATGTAAAAGTTACTTTATGTTCCTACACAGCGGAATCCAGCTGATATAAACAAGAAGTTGGAAGTTTTTAATTGTATCAGAGAATAGATTCTCAGGTCACATACCCATTTTTAATTAAGAAAGGGTGTTGGAATAATCAAAGATGGTTATTAATATAAGGATACTTTTATCTCGTGTATCGTGATATATTTCAAATTACCTAAGGTAAAATTATATTTTGTTAAGTTACCCATGCAAGAGTATGTTTTCTTTTATGTACGCCATCTAACGACAGACTTTCATATCCGTAATGTAAACAACCCTCGGTTGTGCCACGTAGATCCTCCTCAATACATAAGGTAAGGCGGATCAACTCTTGTGTTTTACTGATCCCCACAACGAGTCATATATGCACTGACTAGTCAAACTTGCTTAACACACGGAGGGAAGATGAATTCTTCTGCCATATCAACAAGCCAACAAAAGAAAAAATAATTCCCTTCAACCCCTTTCCCCTTTGAATAGTTAAATCACGACCAGGAAGCGTCTGTACGTCTGCTACGTCTCACAGGGTGCCAATTTAGATACATTAATTTTACTTCTGTACAAGTCGCGATTTTTGCTAATATAATTTGACTTTATTATGTCATACAGTCTAGTAACAGTACATTTTTATAGCAATACTATCATTAGTATCACTATTGTTATGATTGTTATTCTCATGATGAGCATTATCACTACGACGATCATCATAATCACATTCATCTTTAATACTGTATTATAACAGACGTCATCATGATACATTATCATTAGTTTCCCATTATGACCACCCATCGTATTTTAAATTTCAACCCCGATAACTGCATTTTTGGGGGGTCCTTCTCCCTGTCCTTATGGCACTTCCTGTCTTTGTTCTCTATCAGTGCACTCATTTGCATTGTCGTTCCGTGCACTGTATTGAGGTGTTGTGGCATTTTTTGTCCTTTGCATTGACACGTGCAGAGATACTTATTGTAGAATATTTAGATAAATAAGTAATTATAATTGTGTGTATATATACATATCTTCTTCCCAGCTTATTCCTTATACGGGGTCGCCTTTTTGAGCGAGTTTTCTCCATGTATTCCGGTTCCGGGTCTATCAATATTTTTCTCCAGTCTACCCATCTAAATTTAGGTATCCCTCTTCTGCTTCCTTGTATTTCTATCTCCATGACTTCTCTTTCAACATGATCTTCGCCAGCTCTTCTCAAATATCCAAACCATGTCAATCTTGATTCTTGAATCTTCTTTGACACCTCAACTACTTTAACTGCCCCTCTGCTGTATTCATTTCTAATTCTATCTCTTCTTGTCACTCCTACCATCCATCTCAACATTTTCATTTCTGCCCCATTCATCTTCTCTTTTGACTTCTACAGAGTATAGCGCCCACCCCTTTTCTGCTCGTTAGCAAAGACCTTATTACTTCTCTTTGCTCTGGGAACCACTCATACATACTTCCATAATAAAAATAAACATTCATCTACCAAAATGTCCAAGTATTTGTATTCCAACCTGTCACACTTAACACTAGTTCTTCTTGTCAGATATCTTCTTTCCTTTTCTTCATCAATTCCCTGGGCTCCCAAAGATGGTTCACAGGTTGTTCACAGCACCAAGGACGAAAAAACAAAACTTCGACAAAACCAAACAAACCAGAAAAAACACATTCCTAAAAAAGAAACAATTATTCTAGTTTAGGAATGATAAGACAATGTAAAGTTATCAAATAAGTAAATCATTTCTTGAAAGAACAAAAATATTTCTTACAAACAAATTGTGTATAATATTTATATCATTATATACGATCTGAGTAATTATATACACATTATAGTAATTTTTGACTAAACAACGTTATAATATTATACCATTATGAATGTTAAGAACACTTATTCTTTGAATGGGTTTCTTAATTCTTAACATGAAGAGACACATCGGGATGGTGTTCAAGTATCATGTGCCAGCCTCGAGCGGTGATGAAGACACTTTATCACTACAGCGACTTCCTTTTGTTCTATAAACCAAATGTATAGTATTTTATGACTTTATTAATTATATAATTGCGGCTGAATATTCTTTCTTACCTCGGATATTTCACGATAATTTAATACACTTTCAGGCTGTTGTATGGCATTCCTCCCTGGTCTCTCTCTCTCTCTCTATGATGATAGCTATTGTATCAGGATTTAGTACTGTATATACTTTAAAAATTAAAGACTACTTAGATCACATATAGTACAAATATATAGTTCTTCTTAATCTACACATGCATAATTTTTAGAATTTAAATGAATCTTTCCAATAACAAAGATAATACATATTGTTTTCTTTATCAAAATATCAATTATACAACCTAAATATACCC